AACATCATTTTTTTTCACTTTGCACTTCTAAAAATTTCTCTCCCTGTCTATCCTATTTCTCCACCCCCCAAAACTCTATAACCACCGTTTTTGCAGGACAAATGCTGGAACTAAGAGTATATGAGTGGGCCTACATAAGGTACTTTTGCCTGATACCGGAGGGCCTGGGTCCGCGAGTTGTCCTTCTGTACACTGTGGTGTTAAGTTCAGCATCAGCTCTGTGCGTGACGAGGTCACGACTGACTAACTGTTTGGCATACTGTTCTTTTGTGAATCGAAGGTCGGAAAAGATGTACGTAGGCAAGTCTTGAAAAGTTGATGCCCTGTCCTTAGCAATTGCGACCAAAATTGTCGTCTACGTAGCTGTGGCAAACCAGGAGTTCATATTGATTGAAACTTTCTCTTTCAGTTCTTGCAGGTCCAATTATGCAACTAGGCCAGATAACGCGCTGGCATTCCTAGAACTTGGTCGTAGTTAGGTAGTTAGTCTGCAGCTGGTCTTTGTGTCCAGGGTTGCAAACCTGGAGTTGGGTATGGCTGTCTGATGACAAATAATAATCCAGAAAGGACGGGCTGAGTCTCCGTTTTTTCTTTGTTGGCTATGTCATCTCAACGGTGGTCTTACCTACAGTTATATAAAAGTAGTCAGCTGGGCTGACTAATCCACAAAGGGTTTTGAGGCTAACTGAACCTCCTAATCTTTATGCTTTCCTTGTTTTGATAAGGGTCTTTCAAGCGCAAATAATTGCACTCATCTCTTCACCAATCGACTTACTTTTTGCTTACTCCGTAGGAGTGGTGTTTTTGAGTATCTCTTCTCCTACACATGTGTTAACCAGAGTTGATGATTCCAAATTGGTGTAGTCTGATTGTTACTTTTATCCCACCACATCTTCTGTAAGTAAGTTCATCTGATTTCTTAATTCTGTAAAGTCATACGAAACGAATGTCAGTCGTATGTAAATTATGATATTGTTTACGTGCCATACGTTCTGATTCACACAAAGCAGAAGAAACATGTTTAATAGCAGAACGTAGTGTGAATAAGCGTTTTCCGTTTTCCGAAAGGCGCAAACCCGATGGATCGATTTGACCACGTCTTGTGGGTGGGGGATTTGAACTTTCGTGTCAACAAAAGTCGCGCAGAGGTGGACCAACTTCTGACAGGTCCCAACGCACTGCGGCATGTGAAGTCTCTCTTGGAAGCAGATGAACTTCGAAAAGCAATGGAAAGCGGTAAGTTATGGTTATACGTCATCAGTATTTTAACCTGAGTCACCCCGGTTGGAAGTGGCAATTAGGTGACTTATACTGCCAAAACAGCCAGAGAGGAAATTTCAGATTCCATTTGCCTTTAGTATTGACGTTGGCTGCTTATTTACTGCTCATTACTATGTGACAGATTTAGTCTAGCGCTTCAAGTCAAAATTTAATCGTTCTCACTGCTTCCTGACCTCAGCACAGATAACAATAAGTCTCTTCAACTTACCCCTGTCTTGGTGTTGATTTTCTTTGAAGGTAAAATCTTCGAGGGCTTTGAGGAAGGAGATATAGGCTTCCTACCAACTTTCAAGTTCGACATAAATTCTGATGCCTACGATACTTCGGAAAAGCAGCGGGTCCCCTCTTATACGGTAATATTTTACTTTTAAGCTTTATGTATTATTGCTACTTAAAGAGGGGTTAATAATTTCCACAAAACAAAATTACAGTGCTTACTTCTAATGGGCTGAGTTTAGCAGTTGAGAAGGTGCAACCAGATGTGAAATTACAATATCATCTCCATCGCCCTGCCTCTTGTTTCTTTACTTTATGTCTACTAAAAGACTGACAATAGGTTTTTTTGCATAGCTTTAAAACCAACAATTAAGTTTGATGTACTTATTTACTCACATGTTTGGGTATCCTAAGCGTTGCGGATGTCACTACCGGCAAAGACAGGGCAAGCTGAAATAGCCCTTTCTGGTTCATTAGCCGCCATCAGCTTGTTATATCCAACCTCAAGTGGTCCCCCACCCAAGCCTCGAACCCGCGACCTTTTTGATCAGAAAACTAACGCTCTAACTGTTGAGCCACGGCTCGAGCCTAGGACGGGGTATCACAGTGGGTTGAGTTAATAGGGCAAAACCCTTACCGCGGCGATCTTCAGACCCAGTTCTATAGAAGAAGTTAGACGCCAAGTGGAAGGAATAGTTTATTCTGTACTGAATTAGTGGAGAATAGGTAGGAGGAAGTTAACTGTCGGACCAGTGCAGGCCCGGCCGCGAGAGAATTTGGTCCGAAGTGAGTGAATGAGTGTGGCAATCACCACAACGTCTAAGAGCGGTCTTTGTTTGAGTCAGCCTTGGAAGGTGGTTGGCCAGCCAGATTGGAGGAGACAGGCGTTGTTGTGCGCACTTATTAGCCACTGTGAGATGTAGAGCGTCGGCGCAGTTTGCAGCTCCCGTGCTTGTCTTTCCCACGGGCGACCGAAATTGACATCACGTGATCTCCTGTGTGGCGTGACGCAGGGGGCAGGCACCACAGGGCCACTACAGAGAGTTGGGTATGACTGGCTAATGACGGTTAATGAGCCATAAGTTTCCATTTCAGTCGCCCTTGTCTGTCTAGACTACTAGACTCTGAGCGGCTGCTGACGGTGCTCGAAAATGAGCCCCAATAATGAGTGAGTTCCGTTAACGATCGATGAACGTTAATCAACGAGTGCCTTTGCGTATGTATCTGCCCTCAAACGGTTCCTTAACGAGAATCACAAATGTACAGCTCTCTTTGCCTAGTTTTTGGAAACGCTTGAGCCAAATAACGTGAGGCCCGCATATTCGCCTCTATTCGG